GCGCGTTTCCGGAGGATACAAAAGATAACTTAATGCTGGCAAAGTTGCCAACTTAAAAACAATTGACACGGGCGACATCCGCCTCGGTATTATCCATTCAGCCAAATGTTAGTTTCCCTAACACTTTTATTCTCTTAACTACATACACTTCGCATACACTTTTTAACATTAAAGTTAAAGTTTCGTACAACTACGACAATAAAAATAAAATGACATTTGCAAAACTATTGGATTTTAGCAGATGGCGCTGTATATAATAAATAGAGTAATCGAAACAGTGAAACGCCATCTGTTTCCTAAACATGTAATTAGTGATCGGTCGGTGCGAATATTTCGGGTTTTTAATCAATCCGTCCGCTGATGTCGATTTTGACCGTAACCGAAATGGTTTCGACGCAGCGAAATTAATTACGGCTGGCGCTTTCTGCGGGAAATTGCACAACGTCGCACTACAGACGGACGGACGGACGGACCCGCTTTTGCGGTCGCATTGCAAACAGGATCACGTGAGAACCGACCAAAACCACCACCACCACTGCCATCAAACCACCCTCCCCCATCCCCCCTTGCCGTAGGGGGTGCGCTCCATCTGAATAAACAAATTGCATTATTGGACTGCTCACTGTTTGCGCAACGGTTGCGCAAATAAATACACGCCCGTTTGATCCGAAGCGACACGCATATCTTCGTATGTGTGTGTGTATTAGTTTTAGTTTGTGTGTTTATGCGATGAAATGCACGTACTTGCTTTGACGTGGACATCCTTGCTGAGGACGCTGCCCAGGCTACTTCGCAAACGGCACCGATAGATGGCGGCGTGCACGTCGTGTCTGTAACGGTCGCTGGAGAACGGCGGGAAGATCAGCGATCCATTTGGAAAGAGCAACCTCAGATCAGGAATCTGCAAAAAGAAAAAAACAATTGTAGGCATACTTAGAACGTATTTAAATTACTGTTATTTTATAGTTCAAAAAAGATGACAGCTCATTACTTCGTTATCTAACTCATCCAATAATTAGAAATTGTAAAAGATAATTTCCATAATATCAATCTGAAATAATAGTATAATCAGGAATAGTTAAACGTGGTTGAAAAGACGCCATCTACGAAAGCCTTATCAACTATCAAGAAATGTCATCAGTGAGTTGTATTACTTTGACAGTTGCATAACTTATGCAACAAATTTTATAAATTTTACAAAAACAACGTTGATTAATCTAAACAAATATAGGTGGCAGTGGCAATCAAGTATAAGTAATGTTGAAATTATCGAAGTATTTTCATTGCGCAACGGTTGGATTAACGCGCGAAGGAAATATGAGTGTGCGAGAAGCGCAAAATTACAAATTACATATTGGAATTAATTATCTGTGAAAATGTTTTATATATGTGAAGGAAGGGAATCGATTGAACGACGTGAACGGTGCAGAAAATTGCAACTTCCTTAATGGCAGCAGAATATAAATTTAGGACACAATTCTCTTGCTCTCTCTCTCTCCTTCCTATATCTTTCGGGGCATGTGTGTGTGTGTGTTTGTACTTTCGTCGCTTCGTTTCCGGCCCATTAATCCCGTTTGCTTAATTTAGTGCGCGATTAAGATTAACTCGCAACACGTACAATTGCGAGTTTAATTGCCCGCAGGGCGAAACGGTAAAAAGGTTCAGACGAAGATAAATAAAGACGAGAAAGGGTGGTGCACACACACACACACACTCACACTTATACACACAGAGGGCGGCACTAATTGGGTCGCCAAATTTAATTCCATCAAATTTAGCTGATTACACGCAATCCTTGGGTGCTCGGTCAGTCCTCTACTCTACTTTTTACTCCCCCTTTTATTTTTTTTGCGTGCACCCATTCGTTCCACTTTAATCATTATAAGTCCATTTAATTGAAAGCCACCCCCAGATAATCGCAAACAATTTATATCTATCGTAAAGTAAGGTTAATTGTGCACCAGAAAACTTTTTTTTGGAACAATTTTATACTTGATGCAACTATATTATCATTAATTGACAGATTTATACTTGATTATATATATATGCAACTTTATCAACATTAATTGACAGATAATGTTTTTAATTAAAATGCTGTATAGGTACAGGAATCGCGATTATTTAGGAAACCGGAAATATTCAATAATCCTCGGTATTAAACCCGTAAAACATGTTTCGTGTTATATACTCTTTTTTTTTAAATTAAAACTCATGGCGTACGCGCGATTTTTAATTAAACCAAAATTATTGTGGGAACAATAGGCATTCCACGTAACCCCGCAGCTAACCGGATTTTCTAATTACTATTGTTGGATGATCCAATACCAACATTGTAAATTGATTACCAGATTGCCAGTTTAAGTTCGTGCGCGCGAAATGGATTTAGGTTGGTAGACGTACCTGTCGGACCGGAGATCCGTCCGCCTGGATCCACTCCACTTCCGGTGACGGACTTCCGTGTGCGGTGCAGTCGACTCTCCCACCTGAGCTGTTGCTGAATTCGACCCGGTGCGGTGGTTCCTGCAGGAAGAGCGGTCCTTGCAAATCCAGACCTCCGCTCCACACTGCGAAAACACACGAAACAAAACAAAACACAAATAGAATATCACCATCAAATATTACCAACGTATAAAATAAAAAAATAAATAAAAAATAATAAGCCAATGTTTTTTTTAGTTTCGCAAGTTTCCGTCGGCGTCGCAGTAAATCCAACGTTCCAAAGCCGGATTAAATAAGTTCTACTAAGTAGCGGTAGTTGGATTGGATTAAATCCTCGTTCGGGGCGCGGGATTATTCCGGTCGCGCCTCGCGGAAAACAAGCGAAATTGATAACCGGAATATATATATATAACCGGATCGCAGATGCTACAGATTTTACCATTTTCATTACAAACATAAACAATGTATGCAACCCAATTTGCATTAATATCAGATTTCGATATGTCACTTTAAGGAAGTTTTTTTTTTTTAAGTTTAAGAGATTTATATCAATTTATTTATTGATATAAATCTCTCCGGCCCTATTTCTACCCCTTTCGGGTTTAACAGCCACCACAAATTTTTGTTGATTTTCGGAATTGAACCAACGACCTTTATTTAAGGAAGTAATTATAAAACAAAATACAGAAAACACGCCATCTACAAAAAGGCTTAGTAATTAATAATAAACGACATCTATACTTGCATTACCAACTTTGCAGTAATAATTTAACTTGGCAAAGACTTAATCAACAAATCAAACGTTGATGGATTAATATAACTTCTTTTTATTTATCTCAAGACTTTTGTACGTTGGAGAAGATGTAGGTTGTCCGGGCAAAGTTTCGGTCGTGGCGTTTTTCCAATTTTCGTTTTCCCATTGTGACTGCAGCGAGACTTTTAATTTACTTCATATAAACGTGAATGAATGGCGGAGGATGAGGAAGAGAAGAGGGTGAGGGTTTAGGACAGGATATGAAACGGCGTCGAATAAAAGAAGAAAGGCATGCCACGCCGACGAGAACAAAAGACTAGCAGAGATGAGCGAAGTTTTCACTTGTTTTTTTTTTGTTTGTTTCCATTTGTCTCCTCTGTTTTTCAGATTCGCCGTTGATTTTTATTTATAAAACAAATAAAAATTGGAGCTGCTATTGAAGTAAAGTGAAATATTAATAAACGTAAATGCGCGACGAGACGATGGAACGAAGGGGTAGAATTAATTAAAGTATTCTGCGTCGTTGAAAAGCAAACATATATTTTAATTAAGACGCTGAGCGAGGAACAACAGAGAGAGAGAGAGAGAAGATTCAATTAATTCGCATTAGAAAGCATTGTTTTATCAGCGAAGAGATTCGTCTCATAAAATGCCGGAGGAGAGGTAATTACGTTGGCTTTGTGCGACAATTGAGTGTTGGTAACACTGAATCAAGAAGCCTAGCAAATATCAATGATGATCCATTCATTTTTTTTTGTAGGTTAAAATGCAATATATTCTAAATCAAATTATGCAACTTTATCAACACAACTTACGCATTTGACAATTAATTATCATTGAATTTAATGTTAAATTATTTTCATATATTTCTTAATAAATTGATTAGAAAGAATCAATCAATCTTTTATTGTTTGCAGAAAGTATACAACTATATTAACGTAAAAAAAACAGGGTATATGTTCTGGATAATTGTAATTAATGTTGCCTATAAGATAGTTTTGACACAGCACCTCCCTTTTTATATTGGTAGGTTAAAATACATTTTCTGCGATATATTCTAAATCAAATTATGCAACTTTATCAACACAACTTACGCATTTGACAATTAATTATCATTGAATTTAATGTTAAATAATTTGCATATATTTCTTAATAAATTGATTAGAAAGAATCCATCAATCTTTTATTGTTTACAGAAAGTATACAACTATATTAACGTAAAAAAAACAGGGTATATGTTCTGGATAATTGCAATTAATGTTGCCTATAAGATAGTCTTGACACAACACCTCCCTTTTTATATTAACTTTTGTCCTAACATTCAGAGTATTGACATGGTTAATTGATAAATATAAGTGGTTGTATCTAATTATTGGTTGTATCTTTGATGGGCGGCATTGGACCTGTTACCAAGTTTTAGCCACTACTTGATGCTAGTTGCTCGGACATTAATCTTGGGACCGACAGTCCCGAACCGCCCTCATTTATCTTCCATAATACATACAGTGAACGTGCGCTTTGTGATCTCTCTCTCTCTCTCTCTAACACACATACACCCCTAGAGGCAAACGCAGCACAATAACGTCCCAAAAATAAAAAAATCCAAACGGACGATGAAGAATGGTCTCCGAATCTCTTGCAAAGCAATAATCGGATACAATGGAAGGCCAACAATAACAGGAGACGGCGACGACAGCAGTTCGATCGGAAATACAAACGATTTCATTCGAAAACCATTTATCCCAGCTAATTGGGGAAGGAGGTGGTCATTACTAAAGGAAAATTGCTGAAGTTTGATACAAATTACAAAGAATTTCACAGCTCAGCCAATATTAAATAATAGTTTTAACACAACACTTCCGATCATGGATTTTTGTCTTGTTGTTTTATTAGACAAATCCGTAAACATCAATGTTTCTATAACATAGAAGAAAATTGATAAATCAACATGTTTTTTCTCTTTTTCTGAAACACAAAATTGGATATTAAATTATTCGTATTCGTCTGTATATACCTGAGTCCGCAAACATATTAAATTCCAACGAAAATATTGTGTCCACTCCACTTCGAGCTATATTTGCTTTTAGAGAACCTTTCGCCAACGAATAATACATTAAAGTCGGATTACCGTTTCAACAACTACAAAAGCATTGTTACCAACTTCTGATATTCAGCAAAAATATTAGTTAGAGAATTTCCTAGAGGGAGGTAGTAGGCGGAAGAAAAAAAAAATCTTTCTTTATTCTATACTTTTTTTTTTATAAAATAAGCTCTATACTATAATGAAAATAATATTAATTAGTAAATGAACGAAAATTGAAAAGTTTATACGCGAAATAATGACATTGCCATACGTAAGTAATGTGTGTTGCAGTGATTTGCAAACGCACGCAACCAAAGAAGCGTAAAAGCAAATGAAACACCTTTACGGACGTCATAAATGCGTTTTGTATTTTGCGAAATGTATCACTTCCTGCGATGGATGCGCTCATTCCAAATTCACCAAATTGAAAACGAACGAAACGCGACGCGATATTTGTTTTGCATTGTGTTGTTACATTTCAGTTTTCAAGGGTACTCGATTTCCGTTATTACCACAACGAGTTTGTTTTGTTTTGTTTATGGGAAAGCGCTTTGTGTATATGCTTGTTTCTTTTTTGTTATTTTAGCAAAAATATTATTCCATCATTTTTGTTTGTCTTCAATATGAAATTCCAGTGTAATGTGTATATCAATATTTTCTCTCGTTTGAGCTCGTCCTTCTTCTACCCCTATATATATAAATTCTGTCCGCGTTTCAGAATCGTGTTTCGATTTTTTTTTTATCATTCTCATCTCATCTCTTTTTGTCTCTATATATATATAACTATCTATCTCTGTCTCTTTCATTTGGTGAAGCACAGGAAATTTCAGATGAAATTCCGCAGCCGGCTCTCCGTTTTATTTTACGCCCGGTAATGAAATAGTAATTAAATCTCCGTCGGCGGCAATAATTGCACGTAATGTCGTACCCTCTCTCTCGCTCTCTCACTCTTCTGCAAACTGGTTGCGTTTTCATCTCTCTCTTTCTGCTCAACGCTCATCATCGCATGCATGCATACCCTCGCAACATCATATACCTTCGTGCTCGTATGCATGCATACCCACCATTCTCGAATTAAAAGAACAGAATTTAATTTCTCCACCGCCGCCGCTCGCTCAAAATTGACAATTAAAACAACGGCCGAATCCATGGTTTCGCTCAAAAATAACTCGGCTTCATTCATATATTATTTACATAACTTCCCAAAAAAAGATAATTTGGTTGCCGATTTCATCAAAAGAACCAACATTTAAAAAAATATATATGAGCAACATTGATGACATGGCTGTAGCAAAGGTTACCTAATCATGCTTTGTCATAGTTCTGAATTGATGGTAAAAAGACTCATAGACCTAAAGCAATTAATAAATTAAGAATATAAAAAGGAACAATGGGATTGCTTGCAGTGCGGATTTTTTTCGCAAATTCCCTCACACACTGCGGAGCTTTTAAAAAGCTCACTAAATTCAATTGGAATTCAGAACTTTGCTATTTCTCCTCTTTTTTTTTCTATCCATGGCGCACTGTTTACCCGTTCCACTTCATCTCTACTTCTTCTTTTATTCTTTTTTATTCCACTATAGTCTTCCACCCTCATCCCTAATTAATTAAGCTCGTTTTAATTTGCCGTCCCCCGCACTTTTTTCTCCAGCGCTCCGTTGTCCTTCATTGCAAATAAAAGAATCGCGCGCGCTTATTACTAATTCCTTTCGCTCCGAGAAATATATATATACACACTTTTTATGTATTCTCTCGACAAAATCTAATTACGGGAAATTGCAAGAGAGGGATCGAGAGTAGAACTAGAACATGGAGAAGAAGAAGAAGAAGAAGAAGAGAGAAACAGCAGAGTGAGTAAATAGTGGAGTGGATTGTAATAAATGCAAGTGGAAATGGTATGTATGATCTTCATTTTTTTTTTGCTGTGCGAGGGGTGGTGGATCCATCTCAGCCCCCCAGCGACACCTCACCATCCGTTATTGGAATCCCGGGGGCGAGAGAGTTATGTATTACCGGAGCAGCGGCGCCGCCTGCCCTACAGCTCATAAAATTTTAATTTTCGAAATGAAACATATTCCACCCAACGCACACCTATCCCTCACACTAAATCCACCTTTCCAAATTCCAATTTTGCGTTCCAACAGCTATTGGAGAGATGAAAAAAAGAAGAAATACATAAAAAATAATAATAGAGAAATCTAAAAATTTAGTGGCGACATCTGTATCACAAGTTCGAAGTACTACTGTCCATTTGACATTTAGAGAAATAAAATGTCCACTAAATCTAA